TGTCCCTAAGGCACATCCTAGCTGCTCCCACCTGTCATTCTTAACATTCAGGGGAAGTGCAAGATGCGGAGAACAGCAGGAACAGGATCAGCAACTGGAAGAGACATTTTTTTGAGCAAATCACTCTTATGAGGGATCTCAGCCTTCTCATCTCTGAGACTGAACATTTGATATAAATGTGGTACTTTGGGGCTCCTGCTGCTTCTGGCTTATCATTTTCGTGTAATGAATGAAGAGTGAAGAGTGGAAAAACCGTGGCAATTCAGCAACAAAGACAACCAAGAGCTAGAAAGCCAGCAGATCCAGCCATTGATCCTGGAGCTGTCAATGGCCATTGCTTTCTGGTGTTTGTCTGTTGCATATCCTCACCAGTCCATAGCTCTGTTGGTATAGTTTGACCACATGGCTCAGACTGTCTGAGTTCCTTACTTAAGATCTGATCTCTGGAAATAGAAATGAAAACGCGCACATTATAAGCTCTTATGTAAGATACTTTCAAATACAGCGATAATTGCAAAGCTATAAACATTTATACATTTAATACATCACAGTACTGAGTTAGCACCTATCAGCTCCTTTTTACTATCTGTGAGCTAAAAGCATATGACCTGAGAGTATTCACGTTGCAATTTTCTGCCACAGGTGTGGGAGCTCCACTGCAACATCTTGCATTAGAAGTGTTGAGAAGCAGTCAGTTTATCCTCCTCCAGCTTTTTTTCAGTTTGAGGTTTTGCAGATTCATGGGTTGTTCCGCAGTGTCACTCCCTCATGATTGGTGGGATATGTCTCTAGCTTTTGGTGGTCTATTCCTGACTGGTCGGGGGTGTTGCCATGGTGATGTTTGGACTTGTTCACATACCACTCTTCAGTGCGTGATATATCTATTTTAATTCAAGGTTGTGTCTCATAATAGCACACCAGTGCTGACAAGTCCACTGTTGGGAAGATTATGATAGGGGTTTTAGATACTGTTCTCTACATGGATTTCATATGACACTTCTGTGTAAGAAATTTCCATGAAATCATCAGAGAGTTTGAGTTATGAGTATTTCCCAACTTTGTAGGTGTCTGTATGTTACAATCTGCATAAAATTTACAGAAAGAACTTCGGATTCGAATAATCCCCTGAGTAAAATTAAAACTCACACAAGTTATCTGTTGATACCAAAACCTGATATTTTTATTAATTGTAAGTAATGCAAAGAGAAAGAGGAAAAAATAAGAAAAGGTTGGAAAAAGCTAAGATTACTTTTAGAAGCATAGGAAAGATACCACCAAAACTACCCTTCCACTGTGTCTGTGGGCAGAAGTGGTTTCTACCTTTTTTTTCTCTGTCTCTGCCACTTTTCCATGTTATCTTCTTTAGCTGCTAGGTACCTTAGCAGCTTTAGTTCTCTGGAACACAGCCAGGATGTGTAGCTTTGCTGCTCACACTGAGCCGTGTCCCAGGCCATGCAGGGTCCCAATTCAGCAGCACCTTTAACCCTCAGAAATATGGTTAGGGTAAAAGGGGAAGATATAACTCACGCATGTGGCACGATGGGTTTCAGTTCTTCTCCAGGCCAGCTGAGTTTCAGTCTCCAGTGGCAGACAGGCAGCACGTGGTGGCAGAGGAAAGGTGAGGAGGAGGTGGGGAGAGGCTCTCAGTGAGAGTAACCAGTTCTCTCTCCCTTTCCTCTCCCTTTTTTTCCAAAATTTTTCCTTAACTTTTATAGTGTTCAAAGGTTGTATGTAGTTTCTTGTCACGTAGCCCTATTCAATGTTCAAAGAGATATGATAACCATAAACAATAGCAAGATCTTCTGGCAGGAAAACTGCAGCAGGAAGCTCTGGTGAGGGCTTCTGGCAAAAAGCTGACAGAATTTTTGGTAGGAAGTTTTGACATGCAGAAATAGAAACATTATTTTTGGCATTTCTGTATTATCTGGTTGTTACACTGTGGTAGGGACAGAGACTTACCACTCCCCTGAAAGTTGAGACATCATCCTTGTACAAGGAATTAATATGGACGGAAGCACTGGAAAAGGAACTGTATGAAAGTTAAATCAGCAAAAAGGTTTAGGAAGCTAACACACGGCATACCTGAAAAACCAGTGGGAAAATCAAGTTGCAAAATTCCAAGTCAATGATGAATGCAAGGAAGAGACTGCATAGAATATTTTGGGCAAAGACTAAATTTTAGATCTGCTGACCAAAGAATTGCAGACCTAGCTGTAGTTGCAGACTTAATATTTGCAGTTGCAAGAGTGTGTGGTATTTGGGACAGTGAAACACATACAGCTATATGTGTTTTAAATTGCCATTGGCAAAGAAATACTACCATGGGAGTGGTTGTACACAGGACATGTTAAAGAGCTGTACAATGCAAAAGGTAGCGAGTTACAAAATTAGAACTGTGGAGTATAGATGGGAAAAGCTCATGTTCCCTTGAAATAGAGGAATTCAGCAAAAAATTTGTATTTTCCAGTAACTATAGCCTATACTTCCTTCCTGGAAAAGTATTCTACACCTGGAGATCCCCTCCTCCAGCTCCTTCCTCCCATTTTTACATTCTATGTCCATGCCTTCCATACCCTGCTTGTACCGTAAACAGTACTGCCAGAAAGTAAGATAACAGCCATTTTTAAAAGAAAAAATAATTATCCTCTGCAGTACCTTTTGGTGGCATACTGGAAAATACAGAATGAGAAAGAAAAATCACAGCAGAAGAAGGACAATGACAAAATATGGTGCTACCTGGGGCACCACTAAAAATCTATTCTAGAGCCTTCATGATCAGTTAAAGGATAATGCTTCTCTGTGTGCTTGACCCCACACAAAGCAAGCGGTATGAGGAACAGTCTTCCTTGTAGCATCCTTGCCTTATTTACTTCTGTTTTCTCTGGAGTGGAGTTAAATTTTACCCAGCTTAACAGCTTAACAGCACTGTCTGTCTATGGTTTCAGAACAGACTATCATAATGCATTGCCAGATGCTGTATTTAAATGAGTATGGATATCACATTCACGTAGGGACAGGGACACAAACTGTTTCACTGTTGTTCTAATGAAAAATAATTAAATATCTGATCATATGAAAATAGCTACTCTGCCTTCCTTGCTCCCTATTTCCAAAGCCAAACTATTGAAGCTATGTAGAAGTGTGACTTCCCTGTGTCATGAGTTGTTGATAGGGAAAAGATGTAGGCAGAGATATTTTCCTTAAAGATTAAGTCTAGGCTTTCACCACTAGCAGTAGATAGGCAGTCTTCCAGACGTCATGAAGCACAGGAATTAGCTGTCTCCCACCAGTACAATATTGAGTCACAGAGCTCTGACTTTATCACATCTCTTTTGCTTCAGAAATGCCCATGCTGAGACTCCAGAATATTAGGATATCCTCATTGAGGAGGGTGGTTAATCTTTTTACAAAGCCTTTGAATATCTCTCAAGAGGGTTCTCAGTCTTCCGGGCTTCAGAGACTGCAGGTTGAGTAGTGCAGTAGCTTTGTTTTCCTTCTCGCATACAAAATTCTCCAGTTCCTTGTAATAGAGATGGATTTGCCTGGGTTTAGCACACTTAGTTTCTGTCCCTGTTTTTCAAATGTTTTCTTCATTTTAATTGTAACTTCATGCAACATTGATTCTGTATGATGCAGAGCCCTTCCTTGTGACCTGTGCAGGCTGCTTTCAGATAGTTCGACCTCCCAGTGAAATTTTTGGCCCTTTCCATGACTGAATTCACCAGAGTAATAATCTCTTGACAGAATGAGGGTGGTGAGCCTCAGATTTATCCCACTGGTGGGATGTTAAATTTCTCCTCTTTGGAAGTGGAAGGGCCAGGTTTTTGCCTCAGCTAGCAGTTTGAGTGCTGATCCCACTGAGATGCTGCTCTGACTTTTTTTTTTTTTTTTTTTTTTTTTTTTTTTTTTTTTTTTGAAGGTCCAGAAGCTTGTGACTGATCTCCGATTACCTTCCTGATCATTTTGGATTGCCTTCAGATACAGAGGAAGGACAAGACATATAAATATTTCCAGTGCTGTTGCTTGCATATAATAGGAGGACTTCGGAGTTGCTGAATTACTGCTTTAAGGGCTGTACTTTGTGTCCTTACTAACCTTGGGCACTCTGGCTTGAATCTCAGTATGAACTGTTTAGTTCAGCAGAGAAACCACAGTGTGTGCACAGACTGTACCCAAAGAGTGCTCCCTGTAGCTCCAAGTGTGGATACTCAGCACATTCATACCTAGAAGACACGATGCTGCTCAGTAAACCACTAATGCGGATTCACCTGAACTGTTCAAGTTAAGTATGTTATGCCTAGTTAATTAACTGAGAAGTTCATCCTTACTGGAGAAAATAAGATTCCTAAAGGCAATCTGAGGAAGAAGGCCTAATGCAGAAAAATTGAAGAAATCTGCAAGAAATTTTTTCCACGGAAACATTTGGAGAAATATTTACTTTAGCTTGTTTCTGTTAAGATTGATGGAATTAAGTGCTTGTCTGTGTGTTTGATTATGTTATTTGATGTTAAACATATAAAGGAAAAATCAAAATACTGGCTTTAGTATCTATTAACTACTAATCATTGACATTTTCTTGCAGATATCCAGAGTATTTTTGAGGGCTTACCTCTTTTTAATTTTGTAGTGCTGTTTTCAGGCTAAGGTTATTAGAGGAAAGCGTTCCTTTTATGGACTATCAAATTTTATGGATTAACTGGTACAACATTAAGATGTGCTTGTCAGTTTCCAGTAGCAGATTCCTAGGGAAGAATATAAGAACAGGACAATCAGCAATATTTCCCCAGTTAATTCTCTCTGTGTCTTGCAGCTTTTTGCTTTTGCATATTGACAGATGAAAGAAATTTTCTGTGACTGAGTTAAACTGAAGTTGCTAAGGGCTCAGTGCAAAACATTTACCAATTCTAGGTGGACGACAGAATCATATTTTTGTTGGTGTCCAAATACACGTGCAAGAAACCTGGTATCAGTCAGCTAGCTAGTTGTGAGTCCAGGCGTACTTCAGTGCGCAGTGGAAGGTAAGGAGGAGGTGGTGGCATCCAGCGCCTCCGTCCTCTTAAACGGCAGCGGTAGGTGGCGCTCTGGCTTTGTTTTTCCTCAGGACATCGCTTTTTCAGGAACACCGGAGCAGTGTTCACAAGACAGGTTTTGAGATACACTCAGATGAAGAAAGTTTTGTGCTATAGATCCTCATGCTAATAAAAAAGCCCAGAACACCTTTTAAGTTTGTGGGAAAGCACTATACTTCCCGCAGGAATTAATAATTGCTCTTTTAGTCCCTACTGCTAAATATATTGTGGGTACAAAGACACTGCAGACTTCTCTAGGACCCTCCTTGTTGATCAGAAGAAGATGCAGGCAGAGACCTTTTCACATAATGATTAGGAAGGCAAAATAATTGCCACCAGTAAGACTTAAAGAACTGTGTTGGGCATCTCCGTGGAAACACTGAAAACTTAGTGTTTTTTCTGAGAGTCTTCTGTAAGCCAACAGCTACTGCAAGTGTGCCTGCCCCATGCCCAATTTAATATACTGTGCATGAGAAGCAGCATCTGCTTTGTCTCAGTTATGCTGTGTCCTACAGCTGTTGCTGCTGCCAGTATGAAAGGGAAGTCTGAATTTGAAGCATGGGAGAGCTGGTGAACAGGAGGGCAACAACCAAAGTGATTCCGAGCTTTCTAGCCATGCCATACACACAGAGCCTAAGCACTAATTGTATTTAGCCAGTAGTGCCCCATGACATGTTTTTACTAAGCAGAATTTCTTTGTGCTATACTTGGTCACTCCTGTCTTCTAAGCACACTTATTACACTTATCTAAGAATACTTTTAGATTTATGGGGACAAAGGAATTACCTCAGAGTTCTGACTGATTGCTTCTGGATTCTGCCACGCTCCATAGTGCAACTTAAAATGTGGATGCTGGTGCCTCTTCTTGGTATCTTTGTTGAGGCTGGCTCTAAAACCTCCGCTAGCTGCGCAGACGTGGACAACCTTCATGTGATGATGTCATGTACAGTAGAATCTTGGCATAAAATTTAGTTTCACGAGGGATGATCTGACTTTATTTCCAAGAAGAATGGTTACACTATAAGGTAAGTAGTTCATCCTCCTTTAGTTTCTTGGTTTTGACTATATTATACTCAAGTGTTTAGCTAAAGCAGGTTTTGGCCATCTGTTAAGTGAAAGCAGATTATTACAGACAGGTGCTGTTGGGCTGCTTTCATAAGAATCCAGGTTCTTTATAGTCTCTAGACACTCATGATGATGTAGTAGGGAGAAACTGCCCTAAGAATGAATGGAGTATTTCCCAGCTTTGGAGAATGCAAGTTTTGGTAGAGATTGGGTTAGCATGTTGGTACACAGTAGTATAAGAATGTGGATTTACTGTGGGGAGGGACATGTGCCTCTCTGGCTTATTGAGATGGCTTTGAAGATTATTGAAAATGCTGTATGAAACCAATCTTGTTGAATTTGTATATATATTGTCAGTGGGATTAGCGGTGAAGTACAAGCTGACCTTTCTGCATGCCCGTTTCCCTGTTTGGGAAATTTATTGGTATGCAGCAAAGTTCAGTCTGACTGTGTGCCCAAATGTAAGCAATATGCATGCAAAGAAGAAGAAACAAAAAAATCAAACCAAAACAAAACTTAAGTGCACCTGAAAAATAGGACTTCAAAGTTGTGTAATATTAAGTTCTGTTTGTTTTGGGGTGTGGGTTTTTTTGTTTTCTGTGATAGCTAAATGTTTGTTTTGCAAACTGCAGAACAGTGTTTGATTTCACAATATCAGTCTCCTGGAAAACACTGTTGTTTAGGACTTCTGGTGTGAAGAGCACTCTGTTATGAACAGTGAAGATCTAAGTTAGTTGCAAGAATCAAAGCATGAAGAAAGTGCTTGGTTATAGATATAAAAAAAATGGATATCTTTAGGAGTTTTAATTAACACTTCTGTGGGGGAAACAAAGGTAAATAGAAAATATTTGGTGGAACATATCTGAATGTTATTTATTGAATAAGGAGCTATTGAAAGAGGAGTGGGGTTTTCAGGTCTTCACATTCTCTTGGAAAACTGTAAACAATTTGGCAGGGGTGTACAAAGAAACTGTAGTACATTGAAAAAAATGGTAAGATAGACTGCAATTTCATTATATTGAACATCAGCAGTAAACAATCTTAGTGGCAACTTGTATGTTGTAATTAGTGGATGCACAGTGTAATGATTAATGGGAGTTGCAAAGCTGAAACAATTTATTTCTGAAAGATACCATGGTCTATCTGAAATTGTAGTAATTAAAGTGTTTAAAAACAGATGGAGTTAACACATTTACTACATGTATGACAGTGAAAATGAAATAATATCTGATAGCTGATATTCAAAGAAAACTCAATGTCAAAGGAAAATATTAGAAATAGGAACTTGAATTGCAATGTCAGAAAGGAAGAACTATTGATTTACTGTATTGATTCTTTTAAAAATGTGTATGTGCGTTAAAGTCTGTGCACTTGTTCTCTGCTAACAAAAAAAGTTTGAGAGAAAAGTGTTAATTACAGAAAACACTCTTTTCTTGCAGACATTTGCTGGAAATAAGAATTATTATTAATTTAGACTATACTAATAAGAGGTTTGACTATAGCTGCTGAAGGGACAAGACTACTAAAAGCCTTGACAGCAATTCACTTTTAAGGGAATTGTGTGCAAGACCTAGTCAAGTCTCTGATTTTACTTCTTCTCTTCCAATGCTCTCTTTAAGAAGGCTAAGTCTGGGGATAAACCCGAGCAGTAAGAGGCCTGTGCAGGACATTTGCTAAGTAACAGCTTATCAAATGAAAGGTAGTGTAGCAAACTATTCAGTCTTGCAGAGGGGACATGGATTAATGTTAGCCATCAAATATTTTACACAGTACTAGACAGTACTAGACAGTAATGTTCCATTGCTAAAGGAGCTCAGAAACATAAGAGGCACTGACATGTCTGGGACAGGATGAAGAGGAGGTGGCAAAAGCCAGTGTGTGGCATGCAATAGTGAAGAGGAGGAAGCAACGAGCAAGCATTCTTAAAGGACTAGGACTGAGGGTCTAGAAACAGAGAAAAAAAAGCCAGAAGCATCAATGGGTTAGAACTAGCTATCCCAGTGAGTGATTTTCAAATATATGCAGTCCTCCAGAGCTGCTGAGTACCAAAGAGAAGAAATGCTTTAGGTAGAAAGGAGCTGTGTAGGGAGGAAGGACTATGGCCTCAACCAGAACGACCCCCATACTGTCATATTGCAAATTTTTCCTTTGTCAGTGTGAAACTTTGATTTTGCATCATCATTTGCTTTTCCATGGTTAAGCATTGTAGAGGGTTGACTATGGACAGCTGCCAGACACTCACCCAGCTGCTCTCCTGCCCACAGGACAGGGGGAGAAAATAAGATAGAAACCCTCAAAGGTCAAGATACAAACAGGGAGATTACTTACCAATTACCATAATGACAAAACAGACCGAACTTCAGGAAAATTAATTTACTTGTTGTTAAAGATAAAATTGGATGGTGAGAAACAAAAGACAAAAATTAAAACACTTCCATCCCAGCATCTTCTTCCTGGGGTAAACTTGACTCCTCCGCTGCTTCCTCTGTGTCCTACCCACACACTGAACAGTACAGAGGGATGGGGAATAAGAACTGCAGTCAGTTCATAACACTTCATCTGTACACCTACTTCCTCCACTTTTTCCTTGCTTCAGCACGGATCCTTTCATGATCTGCAGTCCTTCAGGATAAAGCCACTCCTGCATGGCCTCTCCAGTCTGCGGTTCATTCAGAGCACATCCATCTGCTCTGTTACAGTGTCTGCCATGGGGTGCAGTGTGAGTATCTGCTCCAACATGATCCTCCATACACTGGAGGGTGACAACCTGCTTCCCCATGGTCTTCTCCATGGACTTCAGGGGAATGTGTTCCAATTTGTGGAGCATCTCCTCCCTGCCTGCTTCACCTTGGGATCTGCAGACCTGTTTCTCACATGTTTTCCCTAACACTCTAATGAATAGTGGGTTTTGCCTTTTCTTAAAAATATTCTCCCAGAGGTGCCACCATCGTGGCTGTGGGGCTCAGCTGTGCCCTCTGGTGGATTGGTTGGAGCCATTTGGAATCAGCTGTGTCACATACTGGACAGCCCTGTTCTCTGCTCACAGTGACTGCTTCTGCAGCCTCCCGCTGTCCAACACTTTGCCATGTAAACCTAATACAATCATCATGGCATATCTAGTAGCTTTCTTCAATAAATACAGGAGACAGAGAGGGTATGTATGCTGTCACTACTGCGATACTACTCATGGATGCTGGGCCATGCCTGTTTGAAAAATATTGGTGTTTATAGTCTTCCCTATGGCCTAGAAATGAAGAATACTGCATAAGATTTGAAGAATACTGCAGTACTTTATTGTTATTTTTTTCCAAATGGGGACAAAAGTAATTGATGGAGTCCTAGTGCTCATCTGCATGTAGTTGATGGGGTGAATCCTCGTTCTCACTGGGTAATACAACCTTACCCAGACAGTAAAGGATCACGTTGCCAATTCAGGCATGCACTTTTCTTGTGCCACAGCGTGATGGAGCATTCCTTTGGTAGTCTTTCTGGAGGCAGAGACAGCTGTGGGATTTGTAAGTGCCAATGTTTCGAACGCTTTGTGAATAATTGGGGCCTGATTTGGCCTTCATTACCAATGTGAAGATGCAAGAGAAAGATTTTACTGTGGCTGGATTACAGTATCTGCAACAGCTCTCCTCCCAGCCTGCAGCAACTACTTGAAGCACACGTAATACACAGGAGGATCTCAGAATCTGAAGTGCTATTTGCAGACTTATCAGTAATAGTAGTGATAACTCTCCCTGTCATTAAAAAAAAAAATCTATTAAATGATTAAAGTGTTATTTTAGGAAAAAAAAAACTTTTCTTGTAAATCCATGCTGGTTGTCAGAGTCACAATTGTGATAGTTTCCAGTTCGATTGTTTTCTGTCTTCTCTTCTGGCCTTTGATGAGTCAGAATCTATGGAAGGACTGGCATTGTCATGAGTATGTATGAAATGAGAAATTCCCTATTTTAGGAAAATGTAAATGCCTCTTTCATAATTGCCTTAGTCTATTCTAAAGGATAATTTATGGATGTAATCTCAACAAAACTACATATATGACAGTTGAAACTACATAACCTTTGCTGGGAATAATCTCTACCTCTATAGAGCAGTGAGAGGAAAGGGTTTCCAGCTCTGGAAACACATATAACAGTGTGTGTGGAAATCTGTATGGCATTTTCTTGATAATATGGCTTGTGTACCAACAGCTGATGTGACAGGAATATGAGTGAGTGAACGCAGTGCCCCAAACTATTCTGAGGGGTATTTACCCAAAACCTGATACTGCTAGGAAGAAAATAACAATGTTTGAGTTTGCTTTATATGACCTTCATTGTGATGAAATTACAACCAAGAAATTACCAAAATATTTTGAGAAAAAAATCAGCTTGGAAAGTTAAAAAAAGCTTGGAAAGCAAAACAAAGCTTGAAAAGTTGTGATTGAGAGGAGAGACCTTTGAGTGAGTGTCACGGAACAGCAACTTAGTAATATGCTATGAGCATCTAGGTATTGGAGTGACAGTACAGGGAGCAACATACCATACATGTGTATGTGTGATCTCATGGCATGTTTTTTTATCAGTGTGTAACTCAGCAGATTTTAAGGACATGCAAGAAAATAGAGAACCCATATCTCCATCAGCAGCTGTGGGTAAGGATGGGCAGCTTGTCCAAAAGTGAGATTACATAGTGTAGACGCAGGAGGGAATGCATGTGTCATTTGAACTGAACACTCCAGAGGAGTGTCCAGTGGCTGGAAAGGAGGATAAATGCCTGAGGTGAGTGCCAGAGAGAGACAGGTCTCCTTTTAGAAGAAGTGAGTTTGCACAAAGAGTTTGCATTTCCGGGGTAAAAAGAGGAGCAGGAAGAGGAATGTG